AGGCCTAAGAGTAAATCAAGGTCTTATAGGGTCAATGAAACCAAGTAACATGACTTCACATGTCTTGTGGCTTTCAACCAGAGATGGGAGAAAATGTATTTTTGGTCCCTCTTCCAGCTATAAACAAGAAAGTTTCTTGACATGGATCCCCCTCTGCTGAGGTTTGCTGTTGCAAAGTTAAATTCACTGCTGGAGCCCTGGGATGATGTAAAAATGCGTGTTTATCCAAAAACATATTCTTTAAACAACCCCCTCTGCTCACACTCAAGGGTTTATTAATGCAGCACTATTGTGAATGTTGACAAAAATCATGCAGATTGGACAAGCGAAGAATGAAGCCCACAGAAAGGTAAGGATTATGGCTTATGCCCAGTTTTAAGGGGACTGGGAAGACAAATCTTGTTATGCTGAAGAGTCTGGGGGGCATTAGGGACAACAGTAACAGCTTCTGTCTCCTGATGACTGTGGACTAAATTCGGGTAGTGTGACTGATGCTGGGCTGGACTCCACCATTGCAATGACTTGCGCAGAAGGGGAAATAGGTAGAGACGCATGGAGCTGCCTTGTCCCAGGATTATGCCTCTATTAGTTAAAGCCTCATTCCAATGTCCTCCTGGGGCTAGGGTGGAAGTGATCTGCCCCAGCTCTGGTGATAGTGGTATCACAGAGAATTAAGAGGGCTCATGGTGTACCCTTACTTAATTGCATGGGTTCACAGCTGTGCTTTCGTGGCATCATACCTTCCTCTTCCGGTAGTACATTCCTCCCAGTGATTCAACTGAAATCAGTGGGAGCACTGGAAGCTATTACTTTACTCCACGTGAGGCAGAATCTGGTCGCAGGTATATGATGGCAATAATACAAAGCCACCAGATGATTCACAATGGTTTTATACTATTTCTCTTTATGTTTAGAAAAACTGTTTTAGCAGATGGACAAGTGGGAAGCACACCAATTTGGGGAGATGGGAGGGTGATGAAACTACACCCACAGCATTACAGCGCCCGTGACTCCATGCTTCAACTACAGTTATCATTCAACATCACCAAAATAATGCCAAAGTTCATCCAGTTCTGTCAAGTTAATTACAATCGTGACAGCAGTTTCAGCAGTCTTGTTCCCTAGGCATCCTGTGCTCTTGAAAATTACAAGTGGGAATAAAAAAAATCCAAAAGACTCAAAATGGGAGAACATTTTTAATGAGAAAAGCCAACTTTAAAATTGCTAGCTGTGTAAAGATAACTAGTACACATACTGTGAATATATTCTTTCTAACAAAAATACGTATAGCTCTTGTTGTAAATATCCTGTCGAGGGACCATACCAGGGTATATGGTATACTGAGCTATGTTCTGCTTGAAACGGAGACACAAAACACTGGAAGAGTAAAGATATCTGTTGGTAGTAAAGGCTGCCTTTTCTGGCAGTGTTATTTAGAAATATAGTATCTGCCCAAATATATTCTATGATATAATATAACTATAATCTCATATAAAATGGATCAATCCTTTATGTACATTATATTTATGAAATTTATTTTTCAACAATTAAGGAACTCTTGTTAACGCTTATAGGAACTTGAAAGGAACTTTAACAGAAAAAGCAGAAGCCCAATCCTGCCGCCCACCCTTGAGAACATTGCTACCGAGCTCGGGGTAATCAGGGTGGGGTCCCAAACTAGCGTCTGATTCTGTCATCTTGCTTTACGCCTGATGGCATGTAGACCATTTAGCAAAACCTGCAGTTCGATCCTGGGTCTCTGGAGGTAGAACATTCCCTCCATGTGCAGTTGTCATGTCTTAATTGTTCTCTTCCTGTTTTAGATTAGCAATCATTACAAGGGTTACAAGAAACGCCATAGAAAAGATGGCAATGAAGTTAAGATTGTGCTAGATAAATATATACTTTAACTTGCATTATTATGTGCTCTTGTTGCTAAACAAAAAGAATTGTATCAGGTAAACTTATGTTGCCTATCCTTTTTAGATGTCCATGGCAGTATGAATTGGTGGCAGTATGGCATGGCAAGATGAAATCCCACAGCAAGCAGAACCTGGGCTCCTTGGTACATCAGGCTAATGCTGCACTGCTAGAGATGCCATTCCTCAGAGGAAAAATAAAACTGACATCTTAGATAGTCAAGTGATGACCCCTTGGCACAGGGGTTAAGGACAGCCTATCTCCTGGACTACCATCAGCTTCCAGGTAAGTGTGTTCTAATGTCCAGGGCTGGATAGGTGTTATTGCTGAAAGCATATTAACTGTTGGATTTGCTCATGCAGCCACTCCACTAGGTGTTTTGCATGTTGACTTTGCCTTTCTTGGGGTACTTTGTATATACAAGAAGCCATATTGACCATGATACCATTCAATATGCAGAAGTGATCTTTAAACAATATTCTAGTAAGAACAGCAGTGGCAAACAACACTAGTCCTTGATGGAAGGCAGACATGTCCAGCGTAGATATAGTGCACCATTTTTTCCTATCGCGACAGATGAAGGAGCCAAACACCCAGTCCAGAACAGCCCAATAGATCTCAGAACGTAAATAAAGATACCGCAGTTTCTGAAGCCCTGGAAGAACCAGTTCTTGTTATTATCACAGGACTGTGGAGTCAGTGTCATTTCTAATTTTAGCACTGTTTGTGTGTGGGGAGTTTGTACTTTCTAGGCCCTTAGGGAGAGGGGAATTGGCAAATGATTGCCTATAAAAGTGGAAAGCACCAGGGAGCTTTATCACTAGGCTAGATTTAGACTAGAGCAAAAACTATGCTAGTTAAAATCCATGACCTGTACAGATGAATTTGAGATTATCTCTAGCTAAAAAGGCTTCTTGCAAGGGATAGTGGAGCCAACATCACCAACATTATTAACATGTCATATTGGACGCTCATTTTTCTGATCCACATGAAGAAAGTCTCTGTTTATTTAACAGAGGGTAGTGTACATTTAAATATAAAGAGACTAGAAGGACTTTGCCTGTGTACCATTTCATACTTTTAATATAGTTTTTTCTTTCTTTTCCAACTGGTCTGCTGAGGTCTTGAAACTCAAACCTGTTTTATGGTGCTCACAGGCTTTTCTTTAAAGTTCCATGCAAACTGTTTAGTTATTTAGGATAACTCTAAAGTACAAAGCTACGTGTGCTGATTTATTATTGCAGTGCCAGTTGCTGGCATTTTTTCACTGTCTTTGTTGCAGGGGAGGAGGAGAAGCATTAGGAAGATAACGCAACATGGAAAAGGTTGTGCTAAGTTTGGGCCTAGTAAGATCAACAATATTAATTTAATTCACAAATGTTAACTAGCATTTAATCATTGAGTGATACTGGAAGGTTGAAAGAAATAAGCATAATTTGCAGGCAACTCAATTCCTGGAAAGGAAGGGCAGGGATGTAGAGGAAACCTGTCCCCTGAGTTTTCCTTTCAAGTACTGCTTGTTTTGTGCAAATACCATTTTACCTTTAGTTTCTTTCATTTTTAATCAACATTCTTCTTTTGATAGTTGGCATGCACCATCCACCATTTGATTTTTAATGTTTCAAAGTAATTAGCACCCCCAATATGTGATGCATATTCCATTTATAAGAACATTTATATATTTCTGAAGCTGCATTTTGCAAATCTGCTATGCTGAGTAGAAAAAAAAACACTTTTCTTCTGGAAAGCTTTTCCTTCTGGCATAGGATGGAAGTCTGGGGATTCAGAAGCCACTGCTCAATTTTGTATGTGCCTTGTGGACTCACTAAGTTTGTGTCACAAAAAATGTTGTTGTGTCCTCTCTTTTTACATACAAGAAATGTGTTTCTATAATAGATGGGTGTCACAACCCAAGGGTGTGATTTTTGTTTGTGCGCGCTTCGGCACTGCTAAATTGTTCCCGCTAAATTGCAGCTTCTTTGCATGGTGGAGTTTTCTGCTGCAAAAGAGAACCCCGGTGCAAAAGAATTCCCACCACCAGTAGCTTTCTTTGCAGGGTGCATTTCTTTGTTGCAGCACAGAAATGCTCGTTGCAAAGAGTTCCCGCCATTTGTATGCTAATTCCAGCCCCATTATTGGCCAGTTCTAAATTATTCACACGTGGCGGCTAGTGATTGGCTTGCTAGCCATTGGACCCAGTGCATTTAAAGCAGGCAACAGGGGTCTGATCAGCCTCTAGCCTCTCTCCGTCACCGATCACAAACCTCGACGTATCCCTCTCCCTGCGCGCACAAGTTCCACGGAGCCTAGCAAACTTCGTGTGAGTTTATTCAGAGCTCTTTTGTATGAGTACTTTCTTCGGTTGGCGTGACGGGCTCGCAGTTTAGAGCCTCCAACCGGCTGGGCTAGAAGAATGTTCACGGGAAGGAACTCTAGTCCGCCTCTCCTCTTTTCTATCTGTAACCGCAACTCAAGCAAGTTTTCCTGCCTGCACCGCGACCATCTTCGGTGTAAGTAAATAATCTTTAAATCAACCATTACGCGTCCGTGACTAATTCTAGCTCGCCACTGGTCCTCTCTGACCCTGCGTGCCCGGGCTGCTGGCCACAGCCCACGTGCGCAAAGACAGGCCCGGCTCGCCCCCGGCTCGCACATGGCGACGAGGATGGGATCAGGAGAGAACTCGCCCATGGCAACCCAGGTGGGATCGGGAGAGGGCCCGCACAATGGGAAGATAGCTCAGTGGATATATCTTTCGGAAAACATTCTTTCAAGTTTCTCTTTGGTTTTTGACTGTTATTATGGTAGCTTTAAATATTTGCTGCAAGGCTGTTTGGAGGGATCTGACTCTTTCCTGACAGCAAGCGGGCTTTTATGTTTCTGATTTTCTTTAGGACAGGTGTCTTCCTCTGTTCTCACTGAAATGAAACCTTTCAAAACATGTTGCTTGCAGTCCTCTTGGATACCCAACCACGGGCAGACAAAGCTTGCCATTCCCCATTCTTTCTGTACATTTGACCAAAAGGAAGGGATTCTTGACCTGAAGAATTCTTTCTTCCAGCATTTTTCCTTCTGGTGCGTTACGTGCTAGGAATCCTGCCATGCATCTCCACATCTGTGAACTGCTGGACGTTCTCTGTGCTTTCTGGAGAAGTAGTGATTGGGGAGATAACATGTTTCAAGCGTAAGAGCATGGTGAAGAGCAGGATGAGAAGAATGGCTAGGAGCGTCAGGAACAAACCCACATACATGTACAGGTTGGAATATTTGTCTGTGGTCGTATCTACTTCTGTAGCCAGAGTTGGGAAGTGGGAGCGGCCAGTTAGATTCCCACGGTATTTAAAATAAATCTCAGTCATTGCTCACTGTCAGGTTTTGTCCATTTTCTCTATTCACCAGTAAACATGTTGTCTTTCTTCACCAAGCTCATGCAGGGCTATGCAGAGAGGGCACTTACACCTGAAGGATGGATAGGTTCTCACCAGTACTCTGCAGAAAAAAGAGGGATATCGATGTTGATGCTGAGAACACCAGCCCACTGAGCTAAGCAGATTGCCCTAGAAGAGCCTTTGGGAGTCATTTCTCACATGTCCTATTAGTTACAATGACAAAAAAAAAAAAAATCAGTCTCACGTTTCATGTTACCACGGGGTTTTTATTTTGCCCAAATCTCTCCAGGGGATATAATGCTTCAGTCGTCTTCTAGGACTGACATCTGAGTTGTTGTAAGGCTTTCTTCTTTCCAGGCTTTCCTTTCTCAGCAAAGAAAGTGAACTTTCTGTCAACTGATCACACTGCAGATGATTTATCCTTAAGCAGCATGGCAGGATTGTTTTATCTCTGCTTATCTGATTGATGATCTCTGCTCCTCCTAGTTAGGAGCATCAGTGAGTAGATTTAAACAAAGTTTAAAGAATATCAGGTCTTTTCTACTTCCCGCCTTCAAATGATTCTTTCATTAGGGCCAGTCAGAGATCAGCCTTCCTAAAAGGAAAAAACAGTGAGAGGAGAGAGTAAAAACAATTGTTAAACAGAGCTTGTAGAGTAACAGAGATAAAAGATGATGTGATTTCATAGACATCAGGGCTGGAAGGGACCTCGGAAGATCATCGAGTGCAGCCCCCCGCCCAAAGGGCAGGAAGTCAGCTGGGGTCATAGGATCCCAGCAAGATAAGCATCCAGTTTCATCTTGAAGGTGTTCAATGAAGGCGCTTGAACCACCCCCGGTGGCATGCTGTTCCAGACCTTGGGGGCTCGGACAGTAAAGAAATTCTTCCTTATGTCCAGCCTGAAACGATCTTGATGTGAAACTGATGTCTGTTCTGATCCGTGTTTAGACTGCTGATTCCTGCATTTGCCAGGAATTTATTTAGGAATTGTAAAGAACCAATTAAGTGAATCAATTGATGTGATCCCGTAAAGTATCCGGAGATTAGGAAAAACATTATGTGTAAATAAAAGTTCATTATACCTTTAGAGGAAGGATACTCTTACCCTGCTTATTTCACAAAGAATTCCTAGTCCAGCATTCAGGCTTATGGATGGAGTCTTGTGGATGGAGAAGTGCCTGCAAAATCCTACTAACTTCCTATGTATAGAGCCCTGCAAATCTCATTTTAGCTAAGATCACAGGTACCAGGTACTTAGCTGAGACCATAGGTAGGAACTGTGCCTGTGTGTGCACCTGCACTTATTTCCCTTACATAGAAATACCATTTCCAATCATTTCTATCCTGTGCAGATCTTGGCATTTCCAAATTAGCTCTTGTCCTGAACTGGAACAGAGAGTCAACTGGTCGAAATTGCTCACAGAACAGAAATTCAGAAATAAAATCGATTCAGAAATATCCAAAGGTTTCATGTTGAAGAAGTAAAAATGTTTTGCTTGGATAATGTTGAAGGATTATAACATAATGTGAAGTGTTTGCCACATAATGGACACTGCAATAGAGCGTAAAAGACCAAATGAAATGAAACAGGAAGTCTAAACAATTTGATTCAGTCCTTTTCCATTGGAAATTTCACCAAAATTGACCTGTTCTTACAAAACGCCTTGGTTTTGACCAAATGACATTTTCTGCCAGAAAGTGGTTCTGCTTAAAAGCTTTCAACCACTTCTGTGCATAAGCTGGTGCCCTATGCTTTTCTGGAGGAAGAGCAGTACATTTTAATTCCCTAGAGGTCCTCTCGGTGCTACTGCCAAACTGGCCCAAGGGTTCATTCTGCAACACGTCCTCTGAAAGTGCTTGTCATGGGGTGCAAACCCCATGCTGACCAAAGAGGGGTTAAAGGGCACCCCTAGGTTTAGTCCTGCCTTGCTACATCTGGGCTGGCTCTTAGGTCTGGGAAATGGGAAGAAGCAGGGAACCTAGCAATTATAAGCAGTTGAAAGATGAACTACTAGGTGGTTTCTGGTGGCCGGGGAAGAAGCTCGGTTGGGGCCAGGAATTGTTTGGGCAACTTCCAACCTGGTATTTTGATAAGAGAGACCAGGCCTGGCCTGACCTGGCAGTTTGAGAGCCTGTGGCTGGCTGCGGAGGGAGGGGGCTGAATGAATACCCGTTGTTTCGTGTTCCTGTTGGATTCTCACCAAGGGACTCTGTTACTATGGGGGTAGGGGGCGAACTCTATTTCAAGCCGTAGCCATCTACGTGGCTGAAGACTATGTGGAAGAATCGAGGCAGAGTGGCTACATTCCCCATACCCTGTATTTTTGGGAGGTGGGAGGAGGCTGATGCTGGCATAACTGCCTTTACCTCACTTCCAGGGGTTGCTGGAATACCCCTTAGTTTCAAACAGTAATAAAATGACGACATAAATTAAGAAATATTGGGCAGCTTGTGCCTGATAGTACTGTGGCCAAACTGGGCTGTGCTGCTGGTGTGGTCTGCGGGAGTCTGTGTTATAGATGTAACGCGGCGCTGCTCTGTGCCCTGCTGTGGAGGGAGACACACTGGCAGGAGGTATCATAGTCCGAGTTGCTGGTCTAACCCCTGCCAGCCCATTAGCTCTAAGGGCTGCAAATAAGTCAGCCTCCTACAAAAGCCACGTGAATTAACGGAAAGAAAATGTGGAATAAAACCATGTTTCTAGTTAGCTTGGGGAGTAAGCCTGTTGTTCCTGGGCGATTTGTATTTGGCAGCCTATACGCTTAAAACTCAAGTGTCAGCGGTAATGTTTCTGTAGCAGTTTCCCCTTGCCCAGGGAGTGCTGTTTCTCAGTTAACCCGATGGGAGCAGGATTGCTACTGAGCCTCAAGGATGAAGGGCCTTGTCACATGTTGACTTGCAAAAGTTGGAAGTTGCTGGGGTGTTGTGATGTATTCACGTTATTACGTGTTAGGAGATGACCCTCGTCTGAAAGGGAACAACTTTGCAATGCCGTGAGGGCACTTAATACATGCTAAACTGCTTGAAGGTGTATTTGTTTGCATTTTAACTGCACTTAGTAAGAGTTGCATTGAATGTGTGAAACAGATTCCCTAGTATTTTGGATTCCTACAGGACAGTGAGTAAAAGGGGAGTATTGGAAATGAAAAGCACATAAAAGTGATGCAAGTCCTATTAAAG